AGCGTGCACCTACAGATTTTATTGCTGTAAACGATCAAGTATCCTTTCCACAACTCAAGGCTGATCCACAAGGATATTCGGGGTGTGCTTGAAAAGCTTCCGAAGGCAAGGTCAGGGGTCGCGCGCAGATGCTGCCGACACCTCTCGGGGTTCCCTAAGCCCGGATGACATGTACACACATAAAAGTATCGGACAGCATCAGCGGAAATATCTCGGCATGCATCCCGGGAAATCTGTTTCATGTCCCCGCCCCAGTCGTAATGCAGCCGCAAAAAACTCCGGAATGGCCCTTCAATATGCCCCCCCCCCCCCCCCCCCCCCCCCCCCCCCCCCCCCCCCCCCCCCCCCCCCCCCCCCCCCCCCCCCCCCCCCCCCCCCCCCCCCCCCCCCCCCCCCCCCCCCCCCCCCCCCCCCCCCCCCCCCCCCCCCNTCGGTGTTTGCCATCGGGATTGGGTTTTCGTCGATGATCGCACCACGTTGTGTCACAATTGGTCAAGCACCTTCGAGGCAGTTACACATTGCTTACAACTGTCTCTGGAAGGAAGTGAAAGCACCAGAAAGTAAATTAAGTCATACGCAGCTGTCATCATGGTTGGGTACTTGTGGGGTGAATGGGACCAGGAACGACCCATCACCCAGACCGAGCTCTCGAGTAAGTCCCGATTTCGGCCCTGCGCCTTTTGGTCAAGCTCCACCTGGTAAACCTCCTCGCCCGTGTTGTTGGACGTCCTTTCCTCGTGCCTTTTGTCGCACCCTGGTCCCATGTTGATGCAANCCTTGGGGTGAATGGGACCCGGAACGACCCATCACCCGAGCTCTCGAGTAAGTTCCGATTTCGGCCCTGCGCCTTTTGGTCAAGCTCCACCTGGTAAACCTCCTCGCCCGTGTTGTTGGACGTCCTTTCCTCGTGCCTTTTGTCGCACCCTGGTCCCATGTTGATGCAAGCAGGCGACGAGCGGTGTTCCCTACATATTACATAGGCCTCTTAGTAGCAGGTTCTATGCAGGAAGCGAGTGGTCGTGGGTTTTATTGCAACAAGTGGCTAGGCATGGCAAGGACGACAGTGTCAAGTTTCCATCCTTGGTGTTGACTCATGCGGTACCAGGCTGTATACTGCTGTCGTTTCGGCCTTGCGTTTCCAATTAATAGCAGTGCATTACATCGCCCCACCTAACGTGGGGGTAGGTATCGCTCGTACGTTGTGTACTTCGGTCGTGTACGGTAAGTGTGGCAACCACTAGATGAGAACACCAGGGAACCCCGCGCGAACCGCGTTCGCCGGGCATACGTACATGAGTGAGTGGTGCTCCACTGAGACTGTCGCCACATGAAAAGGGGGATCGTGTGCACCTCTCTATGGCTGGTCCTAAATTGATCAGTCTTGGATTATTTCGGGTCGCTGAGATCGCACAGCGGAGACACGACTAAATCATGCCGTTCTTGTTATTTTTCGTATTTCGGTGCCATCTCTCCGACTCGTACAGCATACCGCCTCCTGCAGCAGGCCGTAAGCTTTCAACTGCGCTCACCAACTCCACCCATCCCCCTCGCACTCGGACCCACCCGTCCGGTATGGGATCGGACACCTCGATTCCAGAGGAGGTTGCCGTCTTCATGGCGCCCATGAAGTCGACCACGTGGCGCGTAACACGGGCCGCGCTCCGCACTTGAATGCTGGCCATGCTGATGAAGGTCACCCACGATTACACGGAGGACGATGGCTCGCCAGGACGTGAGCTCACGTCAGCCTACATCGCGGACACAATGACTACGCAGATGGAGAAGCAGGTGGGGTGCATGGATGCAGGTCCGGCAGTTTTCGCTTTGAAACTTGCCTGTATGACGAGAACAGCGCGTTCAACTAGCGTCGTGGGACTAAGGTTGCCCGATCCATTTGGGGATGCGGAGTGACATACTTGGGAATGCCAAAAACCTAGGGTGGTTCGTCTCGTTGTGGGAGGTTTGGTGTCATGGCTTTTGGTTTGTTTTATATGCCGTCACGTCGGGCCCGATGTCGTCATGTAGTTGTCGGTGTCGCACCCACCCCACGATATCTCGTCTTCGCCCCGGTGGAGATCGTGTTCACGAAAAGTAGAGCCCCCCCTCCGCCGTTTATTTTTGGTCAGAGTATGCGTTTTCTTCGAGATTATCCATTGTTGACGGGATATTGATGTTGCTGTCTGGTTCGGTCTCAAGATTCTTCGGTCTTGGGGCATCAGGTCACGCCCGGCATCACTTTGCTGATTCTATTTCCGGAACTGAACCAATTTCGGGGCTCCAAGGCTGCGGTAAGCCCCGCACATGTGCGCATAACAGAAAATCGGCAAAAACACGTCACCCAACGTTCGTTAAGCCCGCAATGCTCTCTTGATCGCTTTCGTACTTTGGGGTTGTTATCTTGACCGGATTGGACCAAGGATCTCGTTTCCCTCTGTAACGCTCGCTCGTTTTTTNCGCGCATAACAAAAAGTCGGCAAAAACACGTCACCCAACGTTCGTTAAGCCCGCAATGCTCTCTTGATTACTTTGGTACTTTGGCGGTTGTTATCTTGACCGGATTGGACCAAGGATCTCGTTTCCCTCGGTAACGCTCGCTCGTTTTTTCACTGCGTCTGTTGCATTTTCTCTTCTTCCCGGTTCCCATCATGGCAGTTCCGTTGTGGGTAATGTAACAGACAAAACGACTCGCCCGCCTGCCCTTCGGTATTGTGTACAGCACGGAGGTCATGTGAAACGCAACAAGCATCTCCNTCCTGTCCTTAGGTATTGTGTACAGCACGGAGGTCATCTGAAACGCAACAAGCATCTCCTCCCCGTGTGCACCACTCGGGCGATTACGGCGTATCCTACACCCGGCTTGGACCTTACCGTGGACCACCCCCACCTACCCCCTTTCGCCACCTCCGAATGAGTTGCCTCTCACCACCTGTTGAGTTCCCGTCCTCCGCCTACTCTATCTCTACAGCCGGAGGCCGCCATGCGCGGCCTCGGGACCGCCATGTTCTCAAAGGGCCTAGGCCCCGCAAAACACGGCGTCCCGTAGCGAAGGACGAGACCATGGAGACGATGTTCTTCTACGAGGTGTACAGTTGCCCTCGATCCGCACCTTGGAACCAGGTATTGCCTGCCCCGCTTCTCAGACTTATGGCAGTGGGACTATGAACGAGAGGGTTTTTGAAACCACGGTGCCCCATCTTCTGAATACACAGGGGGGGCTCATAGCCGTGCATGCCGTACTTGACCTCGCATCCCTACAACGTTTCGACGGATCACGCCGGGCTCGCCGGACTAAAGCGGGCCTAGAGTGCAGCAATCCAAAGTGTCATTGCGAAGCTGCATACGATGTGCATCACCATTTCATTAGTATATTGAACCGTTTTGCTCTCCGCCCTTCCGCGCTACTGTACCACTTCTCTGACCCTTAAGCTAGCTCCCGTGGTACGTGGCGCATTTGGTCTAATACCCGCGTGTGCCATCACGTCGTGATAACTGCTACTGTCCATGTTCGCTCCGCCCCTTTTTGTATCCCTGCGCGTTTCCAGCTCACCAACTCCTAAATTTACTCTGGTGCATCCAACAATCTAGCGTATTTCCCGCTAAGCACCACGACCCCCCCTCCCCCGCCCCAACGCGGCGACATGGACTGATCGTCTTTTGAAGATTCTGCAGCCGGCTATGGAGGTAGCTCTGCAGGAGATGGAGCTGTACGTCTCGAGGGATGTAATCAACGCGAGGAGGCTAACGCCAGGCCACAAAACGTCAAACAAGAGCGACCCCGACAAGTACCGCACCTTCATGCCCGCATCGGCAGAAAAAAAAATGGAGAAATCATGTGAAAAACACAAGTGGCGGGGGGGATTGAACCCGCTACCACAAGACTCCAAGTATCTAGGCGACCGGCTTGTACGCAGTGGACCAATCTCCAAGAGAGGGTACACCTTGCGCTACCATCGGCAACCTGCCCCCTACGGCCTGTAGCTAGTGAGCCAACCTGCAAGAAAGGGTACACCTTGTGCTGCGTTCGGCAACTTGCCCCCTATTCGGCTTGTAGGTAGTGAGCCAACCTGCAAGAAAGGGTACACCTTGTGCTACGTTCGGCAACCTGCCCCCTACCCGGCTTGTAGGTAGCGAGCCAACCTGCAAGAAAGGGTACACCTTGTGCTGCGTTCGGCAACCTGCCCCCTTCTCGACCTGTACGCCATGAGCCAGCCTGCAAGAAAGGGTACACCTTGCACTGCCATCGGCAACCTGCCCCCTACTCGGCTTGTAAGTAGTGAGCCAACCTGCAAGAAAGGGTACACCTTGTGCTTCGTTCGGCAACCTGCCCCCTAATCGGCTTGTAGGTTGTGAGCCAACCTGCAACAAAGGGTACACCTTGTGCTGCGTTCGGCAACCTGCCCCCTACTCGGCTTGTAAGTAGTGAGCCAACCTGCAAGAAAGGGTACACCTTGTGCTTCGTTCGGCAACCTGCCCCCTAATCGGCTTGTAGGTTGTGAGCCAACCTGCAACAAAGGGTACACCTTGTGCTGCGTTCGGCAACCTGCCCCCTACTCGGCTTGTAGGTAGTGGACCAACCTGCAAGAAAGGGTACACCTTGTGCTGCCATCGGCAACCTGCCCCCTACTCGGCCTGTACGCCATGAGCCAACCTGCAAGAAAGAGTGCACCTTGTGCTGCCATCGGCAACTTGGCCCCTCTCCAGCTTGCGAGCAGTGGGCCAACATGCAAGAAAGGGTACACCTTGCGCCGCCATCGGCAGTACGCCCCCTGTCCAGCTTGTTAGCAGTGCACCAACCATCAAGAAAAGGTACACTTGCACCGACAGTGGCAATCTAGCCCCAATCCGGCTTGTCCGCAGTGCACAACCCCCAAGCAAGGTACCTTGCACAACCTGGCCATCATTGCATTGCGAGGATTACCCAAGTTGGGGAGGTTGCAACTCGTGCCAAAATAAATCTCGATTCAGGTTGGCAAAAGTACCCCTACAACCCGGTCTGTTGGCCACCCTGACCCCAAGCAAGCCTGGTGCTGTNTACACCTTGTGCTGCCATCGGCAACCTGCCCCCTACTCGGCCTGTACGCCATGAGCCAACCTGCAAGAAAGAGTGCACCTTGTGCTGCCATCGGCAACTTGGCCCCTCTCCAGCTTGCGAGCAGTGGGCCAACATGCAAGAAAGGGTACACCTTGCGCCGCCATCGGCAGTACGCCCCCTGTCCAGCTTGTTAGCAGTGCACCAACCATCAAGAAAAGGTACACTTGCACCGACAGTGGCAATCTAGCCCCAATCCGGCTTGTCCGCAGTGCACAACCCCCAAGCAAGGTACCTTGCACAACCTGGCCATCATTGCATTGCGAGGATTACCCAAGTTGGGGAGGTTGCAACTCGTGCCAAAATAAATCTCGATTCAGGTTGGCAAAAGTACCCCTACAACCCGGTCTGTTGGCCACCCTGACCCCAAGCAAGCCTGGTGCTGTGCTGGATTAGCACGGCTGACCCGGTTGACAAACGTGGAGAGATGGTTAAGACGTTCTATTGGTTGCCTTCGTGGACACAACCCACGGAAGAGAGTGAGCACCAGGGTGCATCACAAACATCGAGGCACTCGTACAACAGCCGCAAGAAATTCCTCGAAGTCAAGACGCATGCATTCGGAACTCGGAGCACGCGACAGCGGAACACGTGACAACTTGTCAAAGATATGATCGGAGATACCCCGAAGATCCAAGAACGAGTAACAGCCACTACTTGCGCAATTGCCGCTACTGCTGCTGCTGCTTCTGCTGCAACGGCAAAAAAAAAAGGGAAATGGACAAAAGTGGGTATACCCACCCCTTTCTCGGACAAAAGTGGGTACTCGAAAATCCAGCTCGCGCGCAGTCCATGTGCGACCCCCACACNATACCCCGAAGATCCAAGAACGAGTAACAGCCACTACTTGCGCAATTGCCGCTACTGCTGCTGCTGCTTCTGCTGCAACGGCAAAAAAAAAAGGGAAATGGACAAAAGTGGGTATACCCACCCCTTTCTCG